CGTATACTATTCTTACTTCAGAAGGATTGGATCGTCAAACATTAGTAGCAAATTTTCCTGTCTCGATGACTACAATGATGCGAAAAGTAGCAAAGGTATACTGTAACTACAAATAAGGCTTTTGACTTCAAGCATGGTATTTCTTTAGGCTTATTTGCACGTATATCTTTACGTAGACCAACCACTTGCCGAACCTGAGCCGGTCGAAGTGATTGTTCGAGAACGGCGATTAAATGGAGAGGTACATACCCTGGTTGCCGTACCCATAACATATGCCTTTTACCCAACATTTTAGGTCGGTGACATCGTCGCCACCAAGACTGTCGTCATCGAAAAAAGTGACAAAATTGTTGTACCACTGAAGAGTTTTGACGTTGAAAGGTGAGCCCAGGGGAACTTCTGTGGACGGGGGGACATCGCTACCGGAAATGTCAACATTGAATGTTGTTTTGTTGACTACCGGAGATGATTTTTCACCTCTATAGGTGGTCGTGACGCTGGCACGGTGCCAACAAACATTATTTTGCTCACGTGGAGTGATGTGAACACTATAAACATTGGCTTAAATTTGAATTGTGCATGAGTTAATAGGCAACGGCGACCATGTGATCATTATGTTTTGAGAGAAACAACAAAAAATAATACGTTTAGAGTTGATGAAAAAATACTCGGCCACAAATTTTTGGATAAACAACTGTGTAACTCTGTTATTCTCCCACTAATCTCTATTAATAACCAGAATTTCGAGATAAAAAAGGTATTATAATGGATTCTAACATAATTTTTCCAGATGGTGGCGAACGGATCCGATTCTTGGCCTATATGTCGTCGCTATGCTAGACGGTCAAAATATCGCAGTTCATCCACAGGAAGATCGTCATGCTCGTCATGTAAGTTACAATATCTGATTTATGACCATTATCAAAATGTTGCAGCATTTGAGGTAAAATCTTCACCTGAAAACACTCTTGTTTGTTTGCTCCTTGTTTTCACCTAAAAACAAACTCGCTGTAGTTTTGATATGAACATACCAACTTGCTCCCATAATATCTTTCTGAATTCTTCAAAAGCTTGCCCAAACTGGCAAAATTAGTGTAAGTTGTCTAGAAAAGTCTTGAACCGATTGTTTACCTGACTATTACCTGGTATCAAGAATCTACATGCTGCGAAAAAGCAGAAGAAACTTCAATTCACTTCTCCCACATAACCTGGTGTCAGGCCTCGGCACGAGCTGGCGCCAAGTTATGTGAATTGCCAAAACGAAGTCCATTTTGATCTTGAAAATGTAGTACAAAGTCCCTTTTGACCCTAAACCCTAATCGCAAAAAAACCCTCAAGAAATGAAACGTGGACTAAAAACGTCGCATTCTGTTCAGTCGCAAAAAGGATATCTCTTTGCTTTTCAAAAATGATATCCAGCCTGACCCGGTGCGATCTTAAATAGTACAAATATCGCTTCAAAACCTCAAGTTATCTGCCCATGATTTCCAAGTTACCATGCGCATTAAGAGGAATAGACCCTATCACTCTCCAACAGTCCGTGCCAAATTTGGGCTTTCTTCTGTAATAACTTTCATAACGGCAAAAATTTTGGCATTGTTTTCGGCAGTCACTCAAGCGCAGATCAAGATCAAAAATAACATCTATTGCATCACATCGCAGTATCGTCATAAGAGTTGATGAAAATAGGAACCTTCGTACTGCAAATGCTCTATCAGGACCAAAAAGGTCACCTAGACTTGCGCCACAGCACATCCGCTGCAGACGTCTTAATTTCCTTAAATGCTTTTTGACGTCTGTCTGGCACAGATTGTGCGTTGGTCTATTAAATTGGTATAGAATTTCTAAGGCGCGCGCCACTCTATACTTGGACCATTTTCACACTGTGGTACGAGAAGGTGCAGGATACGGTAGAGAAAGAAACACTTGGAGAAAAAGAAAGGGATCTGGTTGCTTGTAACAAGGTTGCAACACGGAAAATACAAAGCGGTGTTTACTGTAGTGATACGGTAGGGATGCCTTCCGGTCCTAGAAGGAAAGCGCAAACAGAAGATACACAAACAGAATCGAGATGTACATGGCTAAATCATTTACGTTATCATGCGCAGTACAGGTAGACTTAAAATTCCTTTTAGAGAATTTTTTGTGTGCAAAGCATTGTTTGTTCGAGATCTTGCTTTTTGATGCTGTTTTTTTCCTTTCTGCAACCTACCTAGCCTTTCCCTGTTTTCATTTCCTGGCCGTCTTCTATCAAAACTCACTTGGACGGCGGTGATGTTCTGTATTTAGACAGGACACAAACCCAAATCCCTATAGCTTTGGATGTAAGAGGTTTGGCAAAAGTGAAAGAACCTCAACTGAAATTTTGTTCTAAATCGAGACCGTATTTTGTCCGGTTTTGCGGCGCGTAGCTCACAATTTACTAGCAAGTAAGTTGACCAAGAATTCTAGGCGAAAGAAAACACTTCATTTTTTGAAAGTTCGTGGAACTCAAGGACAGGGAGCGCTAACCATCTAATGACATTTCGCATGTCTCTCATTTTGTCTGTGAGTCATCTATATAGGAATAAATTTCCTGCAAATGATGTCAGCTGGAAGTGAAAATGCTAAGAAACGTCATGTCGAAGGGCTTACTTGCAAATGGTAATACTTTTTCCAATTAACTCCACTCATCACAGCATTCCGCAAGGAAACCTTGCAGATCCAAAGTTTTAGCGCAATCAAAGATGAAATGGTCAAGAAGAAGTAGGAAAGACTTAGAAAATTAGTAAATACATATATTCTGAACTGCCATCCAGTTCAAAGAAATAAAGAAAAACAAGGAAGATAACTTTGAAGGATGACTTACAAGCTATGGTAATTATCTTAGAGTGGCTTACCGATTTCGCAAAAAAAATCGCGCTACACATTTTCTTAATCGTATTCAAGCACTCCAAAATCTAGCATAAAAGCCTACAAATAAATCTGCCCTGTTTAGATAAATCCTGCAGAATCCTGCAGATAAGATTCTTGACAACACGCATTCTGCTTATCTTTTTATCTGTAAACGAGCTTATCAGCTAGTAGGATTTTCTCGGAAAAAAAGCAGACTTATATGCTGGATCTTAGGATAGTTCACAATTAGATCGCCTTTATCCGTCAACATAACAACTTTGCATTATCCAGGCTATTAGAAGATTTGGCAGATTACTATTTTTGGAGTTTGACATTTTCGGTGCTTACTTGTCGTGAATCCATAAGCTTTTCAAGCCTCAGCTAATTCATAGTGGAAAACTCCACTATGAATTAGCTGAGGACGTTTTTTTTCATAAAACCATTCCGATCGAAATGCTGAATGCTCAAAATCAAAAAAAAAA